GCGGGCCTCAGGGCTCCGAGGGGAGGCGGCGGCGCCAGCGGCCCGTTCTCTTGCCCGGGTGACAGCGCCTCAGCGCCGTCCCTGCTGCTGGGAGACGGAGAGTCGATTCGGTCATGGAGGAGGCGGTTGGTTAAGGGGTAAAAATTGCAGTGTGAGACATGTTCCAATTCTTCCTGTGTGTTTTGGGTTTTTTCTTAGGGGGAATTTGAGTCGAAAAGCCCGCTAGAGGGCACCAGGCACTGGTGGGTGAGGCTTCAGGGCTGTTGAAAGGCAGCGCTGTGTGGAGGCTGGCGGCGGGGAGCACCTGGAGGGCCCTGTGCTTTAAAAAAAAAAAAAAAAAGAAAACTAGATCGATCTTTTTTTACTGGGGGGTTGTTTTTTTTTTTTTCCTTTTTTTAAATATGTTCAGTTAATAAGTACTCTGTTTCTACCAAAGAGAAATAGAGGTGTAGATCTTGAGTCTGCTCTGCAAGGAGCTCTCACTGTCGTCCCAAAGAGGCGTCGTTTAGCCGGTGTGCAAGACGCCAGTATACACACAGAGCAGAGGTATTTATTTATATCATTTCTGCAGAGGTGGGTGCTAGGTGGTAACCCACAAGGCTAGTGCACTGGTCTACAAACTCCTTGAAATATTTGTACGGTTCAAAACATAGAAGTACACACCCTTGATTATATTTATTGGTTAGTATCTTATCTTAACAATTTCTATTGGTTAGTGCAGTCTCTCGCTGGTTAGTACAGTCTCTCGCATTCATATAAAGCTACAATGTTCTTTAATTGGCACATGCATGTTCCGGTACGTGACGGGGGGACAGTTCTGTTCAGTCTCTAATTGAGTCAGTGGTCGCGATCTCCCACTGCTGCCTTTACCTTTCCCCCAGTTACTGCAGATCTTAGTTGTTTTTAGCAGTTGTCTGATTCTCGGTGGGTTCTTGGCGCCTCCTGCGGAGAGATGTTCCCTTGTTATCAGTCTTCTGTTCTTTTTCAAGGGTATATTCATTAGTGAGGCATGCGTTTTTTATACTGTGTCCTGTTTCATGAGGCCTTGTAACTTTTTTACAGCTCTTTGCTGTTGCTCAGTCAGATATTCTACCTTTTACTACCTTCTAAAGTACATCATTACCAGGACTTGTGTGAATACATACATGCTATGCTTTATCTCCCGTATTCCAATGGAATGCTTGAAGTATTTGCTGTGTTTTCCAGTGTGTGTGTGTGGTGAGTTGTTTGTTTTTATTTCATTAAAAACTCATTTAGCAGTATATATGTTTATATAGTTCTGAGATGAGAACCAGTTGGAATGTGAAGCACCTGCTGGTTTCTCCAAGTCTACCTTCTTGGGCAATAACAGAATCAGACTTACTTTTATTACTTCTTTTCTGTATATTGGTATGTTTTACTTGCACTATTTACTGATATCTTGTACTGTAACTAAAGTAAAATAGTTCAATTTTGTCAAGAATTGAAGTCATGCACCATTTAATGTTTTGGGTCAAATGAGTCCCTGTTAATACATGTTCTGAAGAGATTTTTCATTTTGGTTGTCCCTCCAGTAAAGCTTTTACCTTTTTTTGGCCTTTTTGCCATAGGGAATATGTGGATATCTGATTATTTTTCTTGCCTCCAAACTGGTCAGAGTAATGAATTTAGTCACTCACATTTTTCTAGTACTCATGTTACAGATCTTGTTTCTACCTGAATGCTGAGAATGGGCAAAGGGATAGTCTGAGACTTGAACTAGTTTATGGCAAAATACAAGCGAAAATATCATTGTTGATTATTGAATGGTTTTTAATATATAAAACCCATACTTAGATCTCCTTTACCTCCTTGGCCTTCTGCCTCTCTGAGTGGCTTCTGGGATGAAGAAGTTAAACTCACTTCCTGTTCTGAGTTTATTCTGTAGCTTACATTAAAAAGGGATATATGTTTAGCGATAACTGACAAAAGTGCTTTTGCAAAGAAGGATTTTTAAGGTGTCCTTTAATTCAGCTGTAGAGAACATTTTTGTCATTTAAGTTGGAACTCTGTGACTAGAGGTATTTTAGAGTATTTTTGTCTACATAAACATGTAGCATCTGCTGGGAAAAAAGTTAAGTTTCTAAAATAGGGGGAGTTCCCTAAAAATTCATATTTTGGATGGTATAGCGATAATAAAGGCAAGATAATTCTGCAGGAAAGTAATACTGAATAAAAATAAATTATTGAAATATTTAGTTCATTTATTTGTCTGTTCCATATGTCCCATTTGTCAAAAGCAGTGGTAAATACTGTAGAGCTGTCTCTTTGGCTTAAAGGGCACGAACAGAGTTGCAATTGCAAGCTCTTTTGAAATTTTCTGGCCATCCTCTCCTTTCACAGTCATTAGTATTGAAGGCGTTTGCAGAATTACAAGTGTAGAATCATTTCAGTTTTTAACTCTGTGTTGTGACTTCATTCTAAATTAAGGAAAAAAATCTGAAACAGATTTGCTGCAGTGCTGTGCTCAAGGATAGTTCTAATAAAGATTCCCTAAATACAAGTGGGAATCTGCGTGATTTATCTGCGCTGGTGTGCACATATCATTAACACTTGCTTCTTATTACCTATCTTCATCTTTTTTTTTTTCTTTTTAAGGGGTTAATTAAGAGTAATAATAGATGTTGCCTCAATTGGGCTACCATTTTCGAACAGAGATCATTGTTTTGTGAGGGCCACCTTTCAAAATGTTCAAACAACTCAACTAAAAGCACTTAGTTTTAACATCTCATGAAATGAGAACTCTTTGAACCATTTTGCCTTACTTGTTTCAGGTAATGCTGTGAGCACATGACTAGTGTGAGACGACTCTTGGCTGCCTCTGTAATTTCTGTCCAGAACTCCTGCTTCATCTATCCTGCCTGTCAAAAATGCTTTTCTAGACTGATACTGGATTCTAGGAGGTATGTCCTGTTCTGGTGATAATCATTAACTGTAACTGTCAGAGGCCTTGGAAATCTCTGAGAGCTTGAACGCAAATTAAATTGGTGAAAATCCAGGTATTGTAGAAATAAGTGCTAATTTCAGATATTGATGTTAGTTATCACTATTTAGATCTCTTTGTATTCCAGTAGCAGCTTGTAGATCATTATGGATCAACAGTTCTATTGTTTTCAGTGCCGTGCAATATTGAAGGATAGTTTAGGAGAATAAATAATGTGCGTTAATAGCTTCCAAGTGCATCCCCTGTGGTCCAGTTCTTCAGTGCTGTTCCTAAATTGGAAAGAATTGGTTGAAAGCCTCTCCAAATCAAGTCCTATTTTTTTTTTATTTCTTCTCTTTTTATATGTACAATGCATCAGGTAGTCCTGTATGACACTTCCACTCACTGTGTGTTCAGAAACATATGGGCTTTCCTTTTTAGTCCCACTGTTATGTGAAATCTATGACACATAGAAGAACAGTAAATCAATGAACGTCAGCACTAAATGGAAGGAGCTGACTTTGCAAAGCAAGAGTATCTGTTGTTTCAAATGCTGAAGTGAAAAATAATGGTGCTGTTTCCTGATAATTTTTTTATTATAGTTGTAGTTCTTACAGCTGCAGATAAGTTCTTACCTCAGCAGTAATTAACAGAAGTTCATGTATTCAATCTTTTTTATCATTTTACTGTCTTGTCAGGTTTAACTGTCTAAAATGCGGATGCACAGGTGAAGCTAAAGATGCAAGCTACAGATATAGATTGTCCCTAAAGATTGCTGACACTAATGATTTGTTTGACATTACCGTATTCGGAAGTTGCTTAGATCCATTCTTTGGGGTCACCGCAGAAAATCTGCAGAGGTAAGGAATGGATTGTTTCTAACTATATAACTGCTGCTTTTTCTTCAGCCTAAAAAAATTGAGATGAGCTTGGATGGTGGGGAGACAAGTGCTAAAGTGCTCCCTTCCAGCGTTCCTGTGGTACCCATCACCTTGAGGAAATGCTGAAGTTTGGGTTCTTTCTGAAATGTTGAAATTTTGAGATGGATTACTTCGACGTAAGAGATCCTCCACTTGTCTATTGAAGGCAGCTGCCACCTGCTAAGTGAGCTTCAAAATTTGGTTGGTTGGGCTTCTTCTTTGCGTCCTTCTTCCTTTATTTGCGATGATTGAATTTTCTTCGTCTAATGGCAGATTACTAAGTAAGTTGGCTTTTCCAGAGATTTAGACATAATTTTTCTTCAAGATTTCAAAAAGCCTTAAGGTAAAGATAGAGCCTCCATTGTTTTTTTCTTTTAACAGTTTGGATTTAAAAAAAAAAAAGTGTGCAGCTTATGATTGATCTTCAATATGACCAGATTTTCCAGTAGCAAGGAGGGATTTCTAAGAAAGCCTGTTAGTCCTCAGAGCCTGACACCTACATTATACGTTTCAGACTTTCTGAAACTGTGAAACTGCTAGGATGGGATATTCAGATACATTCACTGCTTGTTTCTCTACCCTGTTATTTTCCAATGCCTTGTGTTATCACTGGGTCAAAGATGAACATTTTTTAAATCCCATATTAGCAGCGTTAATAATGTTCTCACGGCAGGCTTTCTATACTAGATTGCTGTAATACTGTCAGCTGTAAAAAACAGAGTTATTTGCATGTCTTAATATGGATGCTGCTGATGCTGTAAATATGCAGACAGAAAGGATGTGTAAGTAACACCAGTGTATTGACAGCATTATACAGTCATTGTGTTGATAAAATATCACAGCCACACAGGGAACACCCAAAAGTTGTGTATATATTAAACCTATTCAAAGTGGTTGTTTGGTTTACTTCTATTTCACTAACAAATTAAGTGAAGTAAACAATTGAATGTATAGGTTCGTGGTTTCCTGGTTTTGTTGTATGTTTAGTTTAAACTACCACAGTATCTTCTCTTTAGCATGTGTCCTACCTATACTACAGCTAAAATGCTATCTAACGCTTCCTCTATTGGTGCAATACTTCTATATGTTTTTACTCAAGGTGTATTCAAGACCTCAGTCAGCTCTCAGGAGAAACAAACATAGATGTATCTCCAGGAGTTTTAGTTCAAGCGGTGGAAAACTGTTTCATTGGGAAAAGATTTATATTTGGAGTGAAGGTAACTTCTAATCCACATTACTCTCTGCAAGGGGATATGTTTCTCCTTACATTATAAATGAGTTTTTTCATTAACTTGTAGCCACTTGGGGGCATAGACTGAGTTACCAAAGCATTATGTACACTGTCTTTTGGAAATTTGAGAAAATTTAGGGCTAGGACATGGGAAGGATTCTGCTTCTCTTCCCCCAGATTCCTGTGTTATTTTATGTGAGTCACATCCAGAAGTCATCTTGAATGGCAGTAGTCAGCTTGACAGCTTGTCAGGACTGCTTTTCAGAGAGCCTGAGCAGTGCCAGCTCCTGTGCGTAGCGGTAACAGCTTGGAGTCTGTAAGGAACCATGTACAGTTCAAGCAAGAAACAGACTGTCTTTTCAAGCACTGCCCTGCCTTTCCCATGCTGCATAGTTTCCCAGTGCCTGAAATGTAAGGAGAAACATATCCCCTTGCAGCATTTTGATATTTCTGGATTTAAGAGTGTGTTTAAAAATGTTGATAAAGTACAGCTGTTCAATATATGCATCTGTGGCTCTTTTATGTGTTTAACAGGCTTTGAAATATTAGTTCTTAGTAATATTTCCATAGAAACAGCATAAGTTTTCTTCAAGTGGTGCTTGTGTGAGTCATTCATATTATGAAGTCTGTGAACTAAATCCCACCTGGCAGGTGTTTTTCCTCTCACACAGGTACCATGAGGTTTGTATCTGAGCTGAGACTTTCCTAATTCACAGCATCTTAAGTAATGGAAGTTGGAGGACTTTATGGATTAACTTTACTTAACTGGAACCATTCACCAGGTCTCTAGGTCTGATGCCTTTACAAATATAAGTAATCCTACTTATTAACAGCCTTGTGGCTGCTCCTGCATGTACAAGGACTGAACACACATTGGAAGACCATTACTTCGGCCTTTGGCTGTAGACATTTCTGTATAGTTGTGTTCAGCAATGCATGCAGTTGCACTCTCCCAGATAAAACTCAGAATCAATATAACATACTTTTTTAAGACTTACCTAGAAGGGTGTTTTCCTTGACTAACAGCCTTCAGCCTCCACTTTTGCACAGACTCAGGGAGTAGGAGGGTTGTGGAATTTAAAGACAGCTATATTTGCTTTTTGGCCCTTCTGGCATTGCCAGACCTTGAGGGGGAGGTGAAAAAGTTTTTATCCACTTCTCAAAACATTAGATAATTCCCTGTGCTTTTAATGTGATTTTTCACCTGTAATTTCTGTATAGAGAGAAGCAGGTTCTATAAAGAATTGCAACTGAAGCTCCTTTGAAACACTACTCTCCAAATAAATCTAAAAAGATGAAGGTTGTAGCTTATTTCTATGCGCTACCTCTGTGAAAGGGAAAATATCATGCTGGCTTAGACAGCTGAGCTGCCAAGTCAGGTGTCTGGTACCAGAGTGCTTTGCTTCAAGTACTGCCTGGTGCCTCCAAGATAAAAGAAAAGCATTGGCCTTAGGCAGCTAGCCATTTGCACAGAACTGCACTGGAGGAAGCCCGGAAGCACCTAGTGCCTTAAAAGGAGGAAGAAATTCTCTGTGAAGTCCGTCCTTAGAATTCTTAGTTGTTTTTCCGGCTCCAAAACTCTGCATAATTGCAACAAGCAAAGAACCTCTCACTGTGATGCCCTTTATAGCCCTTGCCAGTGCTTATTTCCCAGGGAGTACTGCTTTGTGTGACAGACTGTTTTGTATTCTCTTCCACGCAATTCCTGACAAAAAGTGAGACCTAAATTTAAGCCTGACTTAAAAGACTTGCATTGATTTTTATTTTTTTTTTTCTATTACAAAATAAAGCATTGCACTAATTTGGTGGGGTTTTTTTCTTTTTCCCCCAGGGTTGTGCAAGGGAGCATGGAGGGCATTCTGCTGCCAGCAGCATCTTGCAAAACTGTTCCAGAATTAATAGAAGTACAAAAACCCTTACAGCTTGCCAGATCTTCATGCCAAACGCTGCTGTTACTGGCTTTACTGTTATCAGCTACTTCCATCGGCTCCTGCAATCAGCAAAATTCAGGAGCTGTAATAACAGCTCATCCTTACTTGATGCATCTTCAGCTCCAATAGATGAACCTGTCTGTGAGCTCAGCAGCTTGTCTAGCCTGAGCAGAAACTCCTGTTCTGTTCAGTCAAGTGGCAGAGAAAGTTTTTTAGGGTTCTGGCAGCAGTCCTTCAGCCTGACTTCATCTGTTGCTTGGGTAACAGCGGAGGACTTTCCCACTCTGGAAGTGGGAAAGTTGGTGAGTGAACAGCATGAACAAGAGGGGAGGCCTGTCTCTGCAGAATCATGCAGTGTAAGCCTCAACAAACAGACTCTTTGGGATTCGCTGTTTTTCAGCTCTTCTGTGAAGGAAGGGAATAAAGAGGAGGGTAATGAATTTAGTTCACAGCCTAGGCGGACTGACAGTATCTCTACAACTGATGAATTAGAGAGAATATCTTCTTCGAAGACTGAGTGTTCACGTGGAAACAGTTCCAGGTTGTTACAACATCCCTTGGAACTTGGGGTAAAAAGCATTTACCCAAAGACTAAAAGTAGAAATTATTCTTACCCAGAAAAATCTCACAGCTCCCTTTTTTACAAGAGAGATGCCTCAGCTTCTCGTCACATAAATGTAGCTGGAGTGCCTCAGATGGACTCCGTGCTTTGGGATGAGCTGCCATTCTCAGAAAGCCTAAATGAATTTTTAGCCAGAATAGAAGATGGCAAGAGTGTTGTAACCTCACCCAGCCTTGAATCAGGCAAACATGCCTTTCTTGAAAGTAACAAGTTGGGTATAAACTTTAACAAAGCGTATTCCAGGCAAACCCTGGTAGCTGATGATTTTCTTGAAGCGAAAGTCTCGGGGAGGTTCTTGCCACCAGCAGAGAATGATAGTTGGGAGAACATATCATTTGCTTGTCTTCAGTCAAATGCAAGTCTTCCAAGTGGTGAAGTATCACAATGTGAGTCTTCCTTTAGTGTTTTATTTTCAACTGACAAGCAATGTGGAGCATCTTGCTTTATACCTCCTCTACCTATTCTGTCACAGTCCTTGCCATCAGAGCCTTCTGTTTCCGAGAGCAGATACATGCAGTCCAAAGAAGCAAATATTGACATTTCAAAGTCAGCTTTGTCTTTTATTAGTCTGCAGTGTACTGCTGAACATGGAGAAACCTCCTGTTTAAAAAGGAGCAAGGCAGCTACCTGTGTGCATTCTGCATGTGACAGCTCTTTAGCTGGTTGTGAAAATAAAGAAAACTCTTCTACGCCAAGCCAAAGAACACATCTTAAATTCACAGGGGCATGGGACTCTGGTCCAGCAACTCCCAACAATGCAAGAAGGATATGTAAAAGAGAACTAAAACCATTGACAGAACTGTCAGAAAATATCTTCAAAAGTGTTAAGAGGAGAGAGATGCTGTGGAACAATATCTTCCCTGAAGGCAGCTACAATGCTTCTGCTGATCTCTTTGATGCGACTGTAAGAGAGGTAGCACAACCTGTAGAATTTTTAAATAAATCATGTAATTCTTTAATACAGGATGATACTTTGACAGAAAAGGTCGCAGCTCCTGAATCAGTGCTTTATCCTGGAGATGTTCCCTGTAACAGTTCAAAACCAAGCTCATCCCTACATAGGTCCCCTCCTGGTTTTAGTAAGCACAGTACACCAGTAACTTACTCCTTTTGTGATTCAGAATGCAATTCAGTTAGCGCTCAAGACTTCGTTCCTTATTTGCAGTCAACTCCTATGACGAAACCTCTCCAGAAGCAGTGGCCTGTTGGGGAAAGAAGCTCTTTTGTCACCATCTTCACTCCTAAAAATCCCACTAAAATCCATTCCAAATGCAAGCGATCCAGGTCTTCCTTTCAAAACACTCTGCTGCAGCAGCTTACTGGCAGGTTAGTGAAACGTGAAAGGCCGAGTAACAGGGAAGGCAAAGAAAGAAATAGCTCTGTTTCACAGCAGTTCCTTAACAGCCAGCTGCCTGCTGGCTTTGAGGCGTGGATCCCTCCGTCTGCTAAAAAAAGGATGAAGCCAACTGCATCTTTAAACTTAAAAACAGTTAGCTGGGCTACTGACTTGCAGTCAACCTGTGGGCACACTGGCAGGAGCCTTATTTCTGAAAGCAAGGAGAAGAGTGAAAATGATGTATGCTTCCGAACAGAGAGATTAAACCCTGGGAATACAACCAGGATTCTAACAACTCCTGCAGGTGTCACCAAGGCCTTGTTTTTAAATGATACAATCCCGGAAACTTGCTCCCCTTCAGCAGGCAAGAATCTCCTCTCAAGCGCAAATTATTCAGGGGGTATGTTGGAAGGGGCAACTGGCTGGTCTCCCGAGTTGTTCTTCCAATCCAATAAGCCAAAATATTAAAAAAAATATATATATTTCTATGCTGTGTTCTTTTTAATTATTTTTAAGACTTTTGGGAATGAGCCAGTAGAGGAAAAGAACTATTTAACAATTGAACTGTTTATACACCTATTGGTATATGTCTTCCTAAGATGAGTTATGTTTATTTGCAGATCTTTGTACCACAGGGGTGGAGGTAAACAGAATTTGCAGTTACTATATTTTATTGTAAATTAACTCTAAAATGTGCAATAAAAACTTCTGTAAATCTGTGAGTATTTAATAGATGTCACTTTATCAAGTACAGGTAGGTGAAGTGTTTTAATGTTCAGCATTGTCTTTTTGTCACAAGAAGAGCCTTGGAGTCTGTGTCCACTCCAGATCTTTAGCTGGTGACTGTCTTTGGAGAAGGGCCATGTTTTCATCAAAGAATTTCAAATACCATATGGGAGCTTTGAATTTGCTTAGGATTCTATGACAGAGTTGTGTTGCGTGGAAGCAACCATCCTGTGTCCAGTTCTGGGCTCCCCAGTTCAACTAGGACAGGGAACTGCTGGAGAGGGTCCAGCAAAGGGCTACAAAGATAGTTGGGGGACTGGAGCATCTTTCTTATGAGGAAAGGCTGAGGGACTTGGGTGTTTTTAGTCTGGAGAAGAAAAGACTGAGTGGGGATCTTATCAATGCTTATAAATACTTAAAGGCAGGGTGCCAGGGGGATGGGAACAGTGTTTTTCCAGTGGTGCCCAGTGATAAGACAAGAGGTAACAAGCACAAACTTGAACATAGGAAGTTCCGTCTGAACATGAGGAGGAACTTCTTTCCTTTGAGGGTGGCAGAGCACTGGCACAGGCTGCCCGGGGACGTGGTGGAGTTTCCTTATCTGGAGACATTCCAAACCTGCCTGGACACGCTCCTGTGCAACCTGCTCTGGACCTGCTCTCCAGAGGTCCCTTCCAACCCTGACCATTCTGTGATCCTGAGAGGCTGGTAGCAGTTCCCAGCTTTCCTCTAGGCTTTTTTCAAGTTAAAGACCACTAGCGGCAGATTCCTGGCAGTGTCTTTCCTCTTCCTTGCTTTGGGGTCTTCCATAGCACCCACCCGGGGGATTTAGAACCATTGCACAGAGAAATCGTGGAGCTGCTCCTGCAAGCTTGTAGGTTGGGTTCTGCAGAAGGATGTGGGAATCTGAATCAGCCTGGAAATGCTGACTTGTAGAAGCAGAAGTGGGACAAAAATTATGTGCTGTGGTTTTTTTTTGGAGGCGTAGAATGAATATGAACCGTTTACGCTGTGACTGGTGACAAGGAGAGTTGACTTGGTTCAGTCTCTGACACAAGACAGACATTACTTTGTTTCTGTGTTTGAGGCCTCACTTCATTTCTAACACACCTACTGAAGCCCCAGGCTCAGTGTTTGTTCAGAAGAGTTGTGTCTGCACACAAGGAACAAATTGTATCAATACCGATAACTAAAGCACTTGACTTTCAGATTATAAAGACACCACCTCTGCCTTAGGAAATCTGAGAAGCATAAGTTGCTGGAAGTTGGAAGAGTGTTGTGGGAATTTATCATGTTGTGCTCATCCTGGTCCTGTGTGTTTTGGTTACCATCTGTTGTTGGTGACTGTTGAAGTCAGGGCTGGAAAGGTTTGTGTGACTCTGAAAAGCTTCTCGAACAGTACATTCATGGGGTCTTACCACAGGTACCTCACTGGGGCACGCACACAACCCTGCGTGCTAACGCAGGACCCGCCAAAGGCAGCCAATGGAAACCGTGTTTGGGATGGGTGAAAAAAATAGGCCTTTGGAATTTGAGCTGTAATCTGTGTGTGCCTTCATATCTCTTCTATAAAATATCCCGTATCTGAAGGGTGCCTACAAGAAGGCTGGAGAGGGACTTTTGACAAGGGCATGTAGTGATAGGATGAGGAGTAATGGCTTCAAACTGAAAGAAGGGAGATTTAGAATAGATATCAGGAAAAAAAAAATCACTGTGAGGGTGGTGAGGCACTGGAACAAATTGCCCAGGGAAGTTGTGGAGGCCCCGTCACTGGAGGTGTTCAAGGCCAGGTTGGACGGGGCTTTGAGCAACCGGGTCTGGTGGGAGGTGTCCCTGCCCATGGCAGGGGGGTTGGAACTGGATGATCTTCAAGGTCCTTTCCAACCTAAACCGTTCCATGATTCTCTGATAAATATGTACCTACTCTTTATTTTCAGGACACCCAGGGAGGTATGAGGGCAGTTACTCTCTCACCTCCTTGTCCTTTATCCACGATTTTTAGCATGAGTCAGCCTTACAGAACATATCGGTAAATCTTTTCAGTTTCTTGGTCTCTACCCTAAGTTCTACACCTTCTAATCAGACACGTTTCTCATGGAGGGATAGGAGGGAGAAGAATATTTAAAATCAATCACGCTGCTTCTGCATCTGAGCAGGATATTAACGAGTTACAGCCTCTCCTACCAAGGGTACGAG